TCTTACCCAGCAGATGTCTGGGTAGTAAAAATCCCCCATGAGTACTGTATCCTGGAGTTCCCAGTTCCTTGATAACTGGTCCAAGGATTTCTCAGTCCTGCTGTGCTCTGATCGTGGTGGCCCAGAGCAGATGCTCACTGTCTGCCCATCTTCTGCAGCACTAATCCCACTCTCCCCATGCTCCCAGCAGGGCATCACGCTTCCCCTGCTTTTCTCTCTCATGTTATCTTCCCCAAAAAGCTTTCCCAGTGACATTCATCATTCTCACAATACCAAAACACTTTGACAAACTGAGCCAAACACCTGCCTGGTGTCCTGTAGCTGAGTACCACCAGAGTTACAAATCTGATGACTGATCTGGCTGTAACTATTTATGATACTGGCACTGCCATCATAAGCATCAAGGTGGTGCTTGTAAGATTTCTCAGCCCCTGTTTGGCCCCTCTTTTCCTGGGCATCTCTTGACCCCACAGAAAGGGACAAGCTCTATTCCAAGCAAATGCCTGAAGAGACACACAGTGAGTAACTGGCACGAAACTAAAGCCCACAGAGAACAAGCAACTAGTCCCAAAACATGGAAGACATATGGTACTGCCTTGAGAGCTTTCACATGAAATTATCTTTCCCACTACACTGCTTTTTCCATCCCACAGGTGCCTCACTTTTGGCAGCTCACCTCTCCCAGCAGAGAAGTGTCACTGCCCTGCTCCCCACAATGGCTCTTGTTCCCAGAGGCTACAACACCGTAAATGGATATTTTTGTCCTCTATCAGATCTTTGCAGGCTGCTGCCACTGGTCACTTTGCCAAGCAATCATCAGACACAAGCCCAGGGTCTGTTGTGGATGGAGCCACTTTTGGGACCACTGGGCTCATGCACAGTGTGACTTGGACATACCCAAACATGTGCCTGCCCTAGAGCTCAGCACTTCCTACCTCTGAGTCCCAAGGGACCAGCTCTTTACCTCACAGCAGTGATCAGCACATACCACATCCCAAACATCAGGCTATCCTCAAGATCACGAGCGCTGAGCCTTCTTCTGCCTGTCAGACAAAGCTTTGAAGAAGTAAACAAATGCTGTCAGATGCCATCAAAATTCCTGCCTCAGCACCCTGAAAATAGTTTTCCAACCTCTTTTCTCCAATTGTCACATGAGCAAGACCTCAGCCTCGGTCACTTAATGTCTCCAGCCTTGAATACCAGATTAGCAACTATTTTTAAGCTGGTAAAAAGGCTACAAACACTAATTCATCCTTCTAGCAGAAAGTGACTTTTTTACATAGTAAGAAAATGAAAGTCTAAATGTAATGTAAATTAATTTATCATTTACTGAGCAGCTATTGTTCACTGACTCCAAAACAGCACGAGGTGTAACCCTCAGGGTAACACTAACATCCAGTTCAGTCTCTCCAGAGTAGAATCATAGTTAAAAGCCATTTTTAATGCACTGCATTCACAGACATCTACTTTTGAAACCTGGAACTAAAAGCCATGCAAAGCAGCAGAAACCCAATTGAATCAACTCACTGGGCCAGAATTTTCAAGGCTTAATTGAATAAACAAAAATGTATAAAAAATACATATTTGTGTGTTGTGCATGTACCATTTTTTAACTTTTACTTGGCAAACTCTTCAAGGCAGAGTGTTTCAAGGGATTAAGAGCTGTAAGGTGAGCAAAACATGAGCCCTGCTTTATTGAACAGCCATTAGCCATACTTAGAAACTGCACCATAACATTAATTTTGCAGCTACAAGATATTGGCCTTGAACAGAATTAATGCATATGCACATATTTGCTACACAGTCATAAATTTTACTAATGCAATTTTGTGAGCCTCTTAAATGGTAACCACTGCAAAAAAAAAAAAAAATTAGAGGAAAAGCAGGGTAAAGTTCAGCAGCAATATTTCATTACCAAGACAAGCAAAGAAGATAAATGACTCAGCTCTCTTGGTTCTCCCCTCTTCTCCCCAACATTACATGAGAAAAACCACACTGCACAATACAAATCTCTGTTATTGTTGGATGTGGCAGTCTGGCAGGACGGCAGATCAGGAGGATTTTTCAATGCAGAGATATGTCTGTCACTGAAGCAGACTTTACAGCAAAGCTTTTCAAAAAGGAGCAGATTCCACACAATTTCCAGGGACAGACAAGGTAATTAGCATTTCTCTAGCCCCTCTTTTTATTGTACATAATTCTCTCTTTTCCCCTTCTTCCAGGGGGACACCTGCTGTTGTGGACACAGGCTGGAGCCCCACCACATGCTGGGGAACAACATACAGACAGCACACTGAATACAGGCTCAAAATGAGCAAGGAAAACAGAGCAGTTCTGCTGTGAATAGCAGGATTTTCCATTTTTCCTAAAGAACCAGCAATCAGAACTGCGTGTTCCTACCCGAGGAGCTCACCCATACATTTCCATCCTTAATAAATGAAATCAGTTTTCAGCCCTCTGGTTGCAGAGACTGGCAGGAAATGTGGCTTCCATAAAGCCCAGCAAGAAAGCAAATGGGACTTGTTTTGTAGCCCTGCCATTTCCAGGGTTGTCTCATGATGTTTTGGGGGTGATGAGAGGAGGGCCCAGGTCACATTCCTTTAGTGCTGTCAGCCTCTCCAGGGGGACAAGGAAATCACAGAGCTTGGGATTTTTTTCTTTAGCTGAGGCCAAAGCATCAATGTCTGGCAGAAAATTCCCTCTTTTTACTGAGGAAATCTGGTTATCTTTGAGAAAAGGCAAGAACTGAGCATCCACTGTATGTCCAGAGACCTGCTTAGTCCCTCAGAGGAATATTCCAAAATCCACAGGTCCAGGGTGCAGGAGAGCAGGGAGAAGCAGGACTGGGGATGGGTAATTGCTGCCACAATGCTTTTAATTTCTAAAAGCCTCCAGCCTCAGCAGCAACCACGTCTCCAGACACCCATCATTCCCTCAACCCTGTATTGAGTTATGCCTTGTAGAAAACCTCTCTGGTCCAGAAAGCGCTTTGCACGTCTCCCCACCATCCACTGCTGCCCCACCAGCACCAGCAGTGCCTTGAGGTGCCATGCACAGCCCAAGCACAGCTGCTTTCTTGTGCTGGGCCCATCCAACACCATGATCTGGTGTCCCTTGAAAATCTCAGTCTGCTGCTGTTGGGAAGGATGGATGTACTGCTGCTTCTGGAACAGCTTCGTGCCCCTCCTGCACATAGTCTGTACTGTATTGAAGAACATAAATAAAACCATTGGGAACTTACTCATGGGAGGAGTTTGGCTGCTGACAGCGCCCTTCTTCCTTGTTTGAAGATTTTGTTCCAGTATCTAAGTGAACTTTGTAGATTTAGCTAACAGCCTGCAAGATACCAAGTGATCCAGTGTCTCAGAAGTCGTCCAAAGTAGCCAAGTTTGCTGGAGAACCACTAGCAGAGCAGCACTTTTCAAGACAGAGTGTTCTTTCCTGAAAAGATAGCAAGGAGAAAATGAAGTTAAAAAATTACCTCATCTCCACAATTACTTCCCCAGGTGCTTGACTTTTCCCAAACTGCACATCAACACAACTGACCTTTCCTTTCAATAGGAGCACATGGACAGGGCACTGCCTACTTCCCCTTCTTCTGTTTGCAGATGCAATTGGATGGAGACACAGGAGCTCCTCAGCAGGAAGTGTATGGCCCTGAGATCCAATATTCTGCTCGTGACTTGTTTGTGCAAGGGGCAGAGCCATTCACCTGGGCTCGATCTGAAATGAAGGATTTATTCCACCAGGACAATCGACTGCTGTGATACATTCAAAGCAGCACTGAGCTCGTGGGGCTGAGCCTTGGCTGCCAATACAACATTGTGTCTAGGAGTTTTCTTCTACCTTGAGACTCAGTGACTCCATCCAGCAGACAGAAACCTGGCAGCTGCTCCATCTTCCAGCACAGCCATGACCCAGATGAGATCTATATATCCAATATACGCAGCTTCACGACTGAGGAATGCTGTGCCAGAGTGCTTAGGATTTTTTGGCATTGGCCTGGTCCCACTTAGCATTTTTATGAATGTTCCTGCTCCTGGATTCATGCTGTAATGTAAAAATCGAAAGGGCACTCCTACTTGTAAGCTTCTGGACTTGATAGGTACAAGAGAAAAGCCTGAAATTGATGCAAACCATGATAAACCATCAGTGCAAATTCATGCAAAACTATCTCCAAAACTGAAACCAACACCAAAAAGTGACTGACAATCTTTCCATGGGGACCTGTGGTGGTTTGCAGCCTGACTCACAACATGTGAGCACCCAAGGCTGGAGCTGGTGGTCTGGCCCTGCAGAGAGCACTCAGCATTCTCCATCCTGACCAAAACTACTGAAGAAATGCATCAAAGGTGTTTGTGCAGCAGAGAGGAGGAAATCAGGATCTCACATTACTGAGTTTTCATGCCATTGCTCATTGTTTATGTGTCCTCTTCCACAGCTGCCCTCTGTAACCTCTGACAGTGGAAACTCAGCTCTACCTGTGTTTCAACACCTGGAATTTTTAGACAACCTGATTTTGCAATTAACAACTCACAAGCAGCAAATTAAATTCATACAGGGACCCTACATAAACTGACTGCCTGTTCACAGGTAACTATAAACACTTATCTATAGCATTGACATAAAAAGGGCCAGTGGTTGCATAAGCATGCAAGTTAAACAGGTACCAAAATATTAGTCATGACCTTGTTGAAACAGTTGATATGGCAAAGCTCAGTCATGAAATCACCTATAAAATGAAATATGATTAGTGTCAAGTGCTAATCTTCCAGAAGCCCAAACAATGTGATGCAAAGGAGCTTTTAAAAGAAACCAAACAAACTCATTTTTCATTATCTTCTGCCATCTTACTATTTCACAAGTTAGAAATCCATTAGCAATTCTGTCAAGAACTAGATAGGCTGCTTAGTTATCTAACACTGAAGCACTCACATCCCATGGCTATCTTGATGTCCCTGGGAGAAAAAAAACAACAAGAAAAGCAATGGAGTAATAAATTATTATAACTGTTTCATTAAAACTTAGGACACTGTAATTTTCAAGTTTATTTGGTGTTATATTTAAATGAACCAAAAGGCAACATTGTACAGTAACATTATAAAATAAAATTATTACATAGTACATTAACCAAAGCCCCATTTAAAAAAAAAATTCCTAAAAAGTCATTTGGGGACATATCCTACTCTTGCTCTTCTGCACACATGATTTATTAAGCTCATTTAAAGCAGCACTCTTTTTTTTAGGAAAAGCAAAATGGAATTTGCCCCCAAAATGGAGTATCTTTTCTTATAGTTCTTGCAGTTTCATTTTATCATGTGTAATATATCAAGTTTATAAGGCATAAATACGAAAAACAGTTCAATATGCTCATCATAATTTTAATTAAGTAATACAATCTAGGACACTTTTTCAATCACACCAAGGATTACAATGTACCTATAGCTTTAGTTTCTTTTTTTTTTTTTTTTTTTTTTTTTAAATACAAAAGTCTATCATATAGTATACAGTGTATTCTAGTTGGTAACTGGTTCACAAGGTGGATCACAATATTCTTGCAGGTTAATATGTCAGGATTTCACCTAGTTTGTACACTCTGTGCAGGCTTCCTCCTTCCCTGGCTGCTCTCCTCCAGCAGCAGCATCCCTTCACTCCATCTCCTTGCCTATTTTAAGAAGGGCTCTGTGCCAGATGCAAATCCAGCTGGGAATGGAGGCAGCCAGGGAGTGGAGGAGGAGGAGGAGGCAAGGCAGCAGCTCACAGAGGTGTTTGTGGGGCAGGGAGTCAGGCTCTGCTCTCCCAGCTCCCCTCAGGAAGGGAATGCCCCAGGAGGGAATCCATGACAAACCACAGCCTGGTGTGTAAGGAAATCACTGACCAATGGAGTGGGTGCCACTGGCTGCTTGTGCAAAGTAAGGATGGGCAAAAGCACCTCAATAAATTAGGAAGCAGCATGGATGTTTGGGATGCTGAGTGCTTGGGTTGGGCCAGCTTCACATCACCCTCAGCTCCATAACCTGCAAAGCCTTCCCAGGATTTTGGGCATCTCTGATGCAAAGACCCACCTGGTGCCAGCTGGATGAGTTGCACAGACAAACCCTCTGATCAGTAACACCTCCCACACCCATCTCCTACCTCTCCTTGGGTTGATATTTCCTAAAACCAGATTACTGAGATGCCCTGGTGAAAGCACTGCTGGTTTGGGGCTGGGGGCAGCAGGGCCAGACCATTCATGGTAGTGCAAGAGGGGCTGGAGAAGGCAGGGGGTCTGTCCCCACTCCTCCTGCCCCTCCAAGGGTCTTGTCACTGCTGGTGGGGGCAGATGGCAGATTGACACTGTGCCCCCACAGGGCCACACTGCTCCCTCCAACAGGGCTGTCAGAGCCTTTCTGACATTACCTGAAACCAGGAATAGGTTTTCTACATATACAATCAACCTAAATTGTGCATGAGGTAAACTGCAGAGCAGTGTCCTCCAGAGCATTTTTCACATGTCTAATATTAGATATCTTGCTGGCAGCTCTGAACTGTCCCCAGAGGTTTCTCTCCCTGCCTACATTTACTACGTTCGGATCCTGAGCTCCTGCACTCAGGTGCTCTGAATCACACCGTAACCAAAGGCAGCCTAAAATAGACGGTGTGAATTGCTCCCTCCCTGCTGTGACTCCATCCTGCAGCATCTGGGAGGAAAGAGAAATTATCTTAGTATTAAGCATGGGCCAAAGTCACAGAATTCGGGTCAGGATTCAGGCCAGGCAGGCACAGATTTTGTCTGTGGGCCTGTTCTTGCTGTCTATTTGCTGATGGGATATCCAATCCCGTGCTTACATTTATTTTTCTGATAGATCAACAGTCTCAGGAATCACCTATCCCTAAATAAAGCACAGCATGTGAGCAGCACATAAACAGCTCTCCAGCTGCAGGAAAGAGCTGACACACATCTAAAGTCACAACAAAGCCCTCACCTCCCACACACCCTTCCCTCAATACTTTTTTAAACCAGTCAGAAACAAACAATGAGTGCAGCACAGCCCAGAGAGACAGAAGAAGGAGCATCCAGTGCTTTCTTAGCTGCTGTGTCATTATGTAGGGAGGCTACTTCCAAAGAAACCAAATTACCCCACATAAAGAGCATTCACTAAAAGAATCTCCTTTCCCTTGGAGAACCAGCAAGATCACATTATTTCCTGAAAACACCTTTTTTTCCTTTTTTTTCTATACTTGACAGAAGAGTAATACTGTCTGGGTTTTTTGCTTTCACTGACCATGGCAGGCAGTTTCTGTCCTAGCTTGAGAATTCCATCAAACCTGCTATTTGCATTTGGGATAAAGCATCAAATGGACATTTCCCATGGGATACAGACTGCTTGCTGTCTGGTAGATTCAACCATCATTCTTAAGTACATTTAGCAAGAGGGAAGCAAAAGATCTCCCTGTGCTGAAATGCATTGAATCAGCAGCAAGTTTCTACCAGTGCTGAGAAATTGTGCCCTTAATAAAAGTGCTCAGAAACCACCAGCCCTGCTGCTTGAGGAGCACTCGGAACTGTATAGAAGGCCTGTGGGAAAAGGACTTCCATTAGTACCCACTATGCTGTGATTTATGTTATGGGCTTAAAATAGCAAAAAATTAAACAGTTCTATTTAACCTACAGTCTAAAAAAAGGCACAAAGACTTTGTGGAAAAAAAATAAAAATTAACTGTTCAGATTACATTTCCAAGAACTTTTAGAGTGTCACTTTGATTTGCCAGCTTTGCTTGCTGGCAGGAGTGAAATTGAGACAATTTCACTGTCTGCAGAGGTAAAGAATACCCTTTTGGCAAGGCAAGTTTGCCAGCTCTATGCAAATGTTATTCAGCAGAAGTAACTAAAACCTCTTGTGATTGCTTTAAAACATAATCTTTTTGGTCTGCAGCACATTGCACTTACCTAAGTACTCAGTGATGATAGAGTGGGTCTTAGGGCAAGACCAAATACAAAGAGCCCTTTTTAATCTGAACACAGGAATGAACTCTGTTCACAGCTTCACAGTCTGCTTCCGAACAAATGATCATGAGACACATAAATAGTATAAAATAAATACAATACATTCAGAGTTTTCTACATTGTGGAGAGCTGTTAAGACTTCTCTAGCTCTCCAATGTAATGCATATAGAACATTCCCTTCTATACAGTGCTACCTCCATGTACCCACACCTCCTTTAAATGCAACATAGCTCAGACAAACTTCCTCTTTTGCCTGGATTCTCATCAGTCTCTGATTCTGTAAAACATTATATCATTTCTTTAGGAAAAAAAAAAAATATTGCACTTTTAAAAATGCATAAAAATCGAACCGAATTCCCATTAACTCCACCACACAGTCTGTTATTTAAAATAGGACCTTCCCAAAAACGTATCTCTAGTTGTTCTGCATTCTGCCTTCATTTACAGCATTCTCCACCGGGATTTGCTCAGAACATTGTTCCTCAGCGCATCCCTTACAGTTCTGCCAGCAGCCTTTTGCCACACAGCGTGAGCTACCCGAGACACACGTGGCTGGGAGTCACAGGGGCGTGCTCCAGGCTCAGGATTTCATGGTGCAAATGGGAACCACAATGACCAGGATAACCGTACAAGCGGCCGCTGTGATCAGGGCAGCGATCTTGCAAACCTTTGCTCTCCTGAACTCGGCCTCTTTCCGTTTCAACAAGGAATCGTAGCCAGGAGTATAAATGTCTTCCATCCAGTACTCTAAGTTGTTTGGGTTTAAAGATTCTTGAGTCTAAAAATTCAAAGGAAACAGTTGTTAATAGTCTGGGGTCTGTTGTTAATAAAATAAATAAACAAAGCAGATGTGCCTGGAGGCCTCCCAGTTACACCTGGATCTGCTGTCAGGATAAAGTGGGTTATTGCCACTTCTCACACCCCTTCATCTCCTGGTCCCAATCCCATAAAGCTGACGAAAGTGGTAACAAAATACTGCAAAAAATAGGCTCCTGCAACAGTAAGATTGTGCTCCAAAATCCCTCACTTACCTCTGATTTACCGGAAACTTCGTCATCTTGGATGGCATTTAAATAAAATCTCTTTAATCTGCTCAACAGCAGAGGTGTCAGCAAGTGCCTGCCTGTAACTGTTAATAATTTTTAAATTATTAAAGCTCAGCTGATGGGAAAGGTTCTTAATATATGCTCCTCGTGCACTACATTTTACAAAGCTAACCCTAATTCTGGCACCACGACTTGCTTGCAGGGCAGGATTACCCAGCACCCAGTCCTGCAATTTACAGACCCCTCCTCTGGAATGGCATTGCCTGCAGAACTTTATCAGTGTTTCCATTTGAATTACTTATTTTTTATGTCTTACAGCTTTTTATTCCTAAGCATTTATGAGCTCTTAAAGCTTTCCATTTCAGCCTTGCTTGTTTTATTCCCTTTAAACTCTGTGTTAGAGGAAAATAAGGGGAAAACCAGGGAAACCCAAACACTACTATTGAATTTATCAGCAGAAAGGAATAAAGCAAAGAGAGCATTTTGAAAAATGACAGCATTTCCCCAAAGCTGTCTCTTTTATCTGAGACTCCAGAAGCCTATTCCTTTAAAACAAATGAGAAAGATTCCATATAAAAATATTACAGTGAGAATACCCTTTCACACACCATTTCTGTGCTTGTAACAGTCCTGACCCAAAGGTTGTCAGACCTGGCAAAGAAACTCCAGCTGACTTGAGAAGGATTTCAGTAAGTCTTTAATTGACTAATTCAGATTTTGTGACCACAAGCTACTGACTGAAACTTTGCTTTGCGTGAGAGCAGCATTTGTTTTATGTAAAGAACTACTAAAATAAGTGATTTTATAGCTATTTCAGAAACAAACAATGAAAACTGAGTGATGGTTTTATGATCATTTAATGTACATCTCTATGATAGTGTTAGGATGCTGAAACAGAGGCCATCAGACACATCTGTGATTGCATCTTTAGGGCTTTGGATGACCTGTTTCAGCCTTGTGAAAAAAGGCAGCAATCTCATCACTAAAGGCATCAGAAAACAGCCTGATACTGTTTCATCCCAGTGGATCATCATACACAAAGCAAAGCAATGAATCTCACACAGAGCCCACACCTGGGACAAGCTTTGGGCCTGACGAGTTTTGCAATTTCTTTTTTTGGAGGAAAACCCAGCAGACTTGTCAGGCTTGTCAGGAGAAAATTTAGGTAAACAAAGGTGGAAAAATCCCAAAGGTAGGCATACTGTGCTTCAAGCAAATTGCAGTTTCGGACCCGTCTGCCTTGGCATTGACCTTTTAACTACTTCAGAAGGAAGATGCATTATTGAAAAGGCCCATTACTGTTAATCAGCTTCCCTTCCCATTTCATTGCCAGACATAGGAATGTTCATTAAGGCATAATGTATTTACTTTCAGTTCTAATAAACTTAATCACTGGGGAAAAAAAAAACCCACTCATCAGTCTGTGTCTATTTTTCAAGTTTGTCAGTAAGCTCCATTATAAAGTCTAGACATGGGCTTTGTGGGGTAGATGCAATTCTGACAGTCTTTCTGGAGGGAGAGAATCAAACCAGTAAATTTCTATCACCTTTATCCTAAAGATAAATTATGGCAATAAGCCGATTTCTCTGCTTTGCTCACAGTCATGCAGAGCTGCTTACAGAGAACAAAACAGCCCAACGAGGAGCAGATGGAGAACACTTCTCCCAGAGGGGCTTTGCTCCCAAATATCACCTCCCTTATTGCCTCACACAGCAGGTAAGTGATGCTTTGTGACTGCCTGCTGCAGAGGAACTTCCTCCAGCCTATTCCTACTCTAGCATACAGCCTCAATGCCAGGGTTAGGAATTTAGTGAGCCCCCTAAAGCTTTTAAGACCCAAAAAGCTGCAGGGAGCTGAGACAAGAAGCAGCCTGGTCCCTGTCCTGCTTGGTTTCTCTCTGAGTGCACTTTAGCCACAGCAAGGAGCAGGGGCTGTTGAGGACAGGGAAGTTTGCATGAGCCAAGCAAAGACGTGAATTTGTTGTGCACAAATTCCTGCACAAACATTCATGGGAGTTGCACTAAAGCACTGTGTGGGTGATGGTTTCAAATCCAAATCAGCCAGCTCGGGGTCCTGAGGCACAGCATCCTGATGCTTTCCCAGGCATTAGTCTGGAGCTGGTTTAGGTACCTCAGCACCGAGCCATTGAGGGCTGGCAGGGAGCAGCAAAGTCTCAGACTCTTCCATGCCAGACATGCTGTGGAGACAAGCAGGCTCCCTCCTTGAGCAGGGCTGCACCAACTGCTGCCCACAGAACCCAAAGTTCTGCCTGAGGTCAGCACCAGATCCCCCAGCAGTCCTACATTCTACTGTCGAAGTGCATATAAATGATAAACAGTTATTTCACATCAGTGTGGATTTCATTGTGTGACACATTTGGGGTTTTGAGACCAAGAAATGCAACATTCATTTGGTCTTTACGCATTTTGGACGTCATTCTTCAGGTTTCCTCTTTAAACCTCTGCTGAGATATCTTCCTTCCTAAAAGATGTGCTGTGTTTATCAGGCTACACAGGGTACCCAATGTGGGTGCTCATTTTATGTCAGGTTTGTGATTTTGCATCAGGAAAATATAAATGCAAAACGTGCATTTGTCTCCTCTGTTTGTTGCAGAAGAGCCTGCACACTTACAAGCAGAACCAAAATGCAAACTAGACACACCATTAGTTGCCTGGCTGGTTTCCAGCAGCCACTTCAAAGCTTCAACAGTGACGTGTTTCAAAACCAGTTGTGGTATTGAACATCTTCTACAAGTATTTGATGTCTCGTGTTCCTAGTAAAATGGAAAAAAACAACCCTAGCACTGCAATTCCCTGTGAATAATTCAGAGAGAACAAAGGCAGAGGAAAAGGCAGCAGTCCCAGCTCCTGCACCACTCTTCCTTGCTGCAGTGAGGGACCAGCTCACCTCTGCACTCCCTTACTCCCCAACCCTTCTTTAGAGCTACTAAAGCTACGATGGCTTCTCCATTGCAGAATAAGCTGGGACCATCAGCCTGTCAAGGATCACCATTCAGCAATGAAACATTCACATTTTCATTGTCCCTGGCCAGGATGGATAGGGATCAGCAAGATTAGAGGCTCAACAATCCACAGCTTTTTCCTGAGCTATCCAAATCCCTTCTTAAATGTATATTCTGGCAACATCCATTTGCAATCAAGCCATTCAAATTAAACAAATGAGACTCACTTGTAGATCCAAGGCTGCAATCTTGCCTTTATCCCCCGAATTCCTCGTGTATTCCTCTATGGTCCATGATGGCTGGGCACGTTTCACTTCAGCCAGCTCTGTCAACCTCATGTCTGTGTAGAGAGGGTTGCTTTTCATGTGTGACTTGAGTGATGCAGGGTAGGGATGAGGACTAAAGACTTGCTCAATCAAGAAAGCATCTTTTGGCTGTTTAGAGAGTCTATGTGGCTGTGGGATTTCGTATTGCCTGTCTGCCTGCAATAGGGTTTAAAAGAATTTGAGAGAAAAAACAAGACTATGAGGGAGTTAAACACAAAAGACAAAAATATTCCTTTCAGAAGCATAATATGATAAAAAATAGACCAGCTAGGATAAAGATTTTGGATGGCAAATTTGCCCACCTTCTTCTCATAAACAAACCAGAGGTATTGAGGTATTTTATAAACACAACTCCATACTCCTTATAACATGAACATGCTGCTGAGGCAGCAGCAAAAAATTAGGGTTTGCGCTGTTTAGACACCAAAAAACTATTCTGAAATGACCCTGACATCCAGAGAAGCCCAGCTGATCTGCAAAAGCTGAGAGACACAAGCAGGCTTCCAGGTTTCTGTTTCCAGATCAAATCCTAACATGAGGTATTCCTGAGGGATGCCCCCAGCCTGACACTGCAGCATCCATGGTACAATCCAGCTTCAGCCACAGGCCACTGAGGGAGTCTGGAAGGGACTCTCAAAATCAGCATGTCATCCTAAGCAAAGCAATGTACAGAAAAGCCAAGGTTTGGCCTGACTAAGGATGGCCTTCTTCCCTCTCTGCAGTCCAGCAATAACCTGTGGTTTGTGGCTTCTTGTTCACCCAACCTCATTTGTTTCCATCAAACCTCTTTCTCTCTTTTCCCAACTCTTCTCTGCCCTCACACCCTGTTGTAGGAAGGCACAGCATGCCTGCTGTGTGGTCACAGCTGACAAGGGGCTGCAGGACCCCCTCCCCAAGCAGAAACAAGCACCCACCCCATGCAGTTTCAACTGAGCAGCACCCAGAGCCCTGCACAAGGGCAGCCAGGACATCCATGGGGTCAGTGAAGGGGGCACAGGGAAGCTGCTGGAGGATGGGCAGAGTTCTTCTGCCCAGCCAAGCCAAGAGCACAGCTGAGCTGCAGTTCAACAACAGGAGGCTTCAGACTCATTTAAATGACCATGAAAGAGAGAATATAACTACAATGAGCATCTCTCAGTACACATACCAGGATTTTTTCCTTGAGGGACTTGAATCCATGAATCTGTTTTGTTGGCTTTTAAATATGTACATACTTGTCTGATAAAAACCATCACAATTCAATTTCAAAATATCCCTTCTAAAACAATCAGTAGAGAATTTCAATTTTCCCCCCACCCTTTTCACTAAGGTAATTACCAGGCCTCCTGATATTGCTACAGATGATGAAGAGTACCATCACCTTCCCGAGATGTCACCCACATTACCACCCTCCCTTTGCAAAAAAGAAAAGCTTTTAAGCAGCAACTTGGCCATTTTGCAACCACAAAGCAAGAACCTACAGGTACAAAATCACTCCATTATGATAACAATAAAAGCAGGCATAACATGGCAGGGCAAAGCATTGTCATAGCCCAAGGTTTGAGACGACTATGGAAGGCATTCATAACCACATTATTTTTAAGCATTTATTAAGTGAGTTAAAGTTGAAATTACCTCTTTAGATTTCCTGTGCCAGTCCTTATTTTCTCCTCCATCTCTCTCTTTCATCTCCTCCTCTGTTATGCCAACTTGGTTGGTGTAAGTAATAGCTCTCCAATCTCGGGGAGAGTTTGAAATACTTGCTATTTTGGATTCAGTTGCACTGTTTTCTTCTGTTAATGACCTCGATGATCTCCTAGTAAACAAACTTTTTTTTAAGGCTTTTACTCGAAGACTTTCACTATTACTTCCACTGGCATCTGAACAGCACCATTCTGGGTTATTCTCCAGTTTGCTTCCATGAGGAGTATTGTGGCACTGAAATATCTGCGGGGAGTTGCTCTCATCTGACGCGGCATCGCTTGTCAAAGAGTTGAGATCTATCTGTACACTGACCTTCTCTGGCTGCTGGATTTTTTGATCCAGCTTGCTTAATTTTCCCAGGACTTGAGAGATTTCTTCTCGGACACCTGAGAGAGATTCCAGTTTCTTCTCTATTTCACCAATCCTCAAGACTAATTTGCAGACACTCGTTTTCAGTTCATCATCCGTGTTACTGACATCCACCCTGACCACTTTATCCAGTTTGTTACAGGCACTCCCATTGGAGATCTTAGTCAAATTGTGCTCAGGTGAGCTCTCACAGTCTGATTTATGCACCTGAGACAAGGAACCAGTGCTGTTGTAGCACGAGGACTGCATGACTCCCGTGGAGCCGCTGATACTCATGTCATCCAAAAACCGGAAAATGTCACTGATGTCATCGCTCACGATTTCAGAGTCATCATCCGACTGCTTCAGAGAGTGCCGCTCGCCGTACTTGGCTTGGCCTGCTGCACACAAATCCTTGCATTTCTTGTGGTCCAGAACCTGCTGCTCCGTTTGTGTCCCAACACTCATGGTCCTGTCAATGCTTAGGATCTGGACAGAAGTACAGTTAATGCTCTTATCCTTAAACTTTTTGACTGGCTCGTGTTTCTCCACATCTAGAATGGAAGGAATTTCCTTAGGTTTATGCCCATTGGGTTTCACAGCATAGTTTGCCTGCATAATTGGTTGCTGATCCTTTGCATTTAGGTAGGACTGATGCCTGTCAACTGAAGGAAAGTTTGGAGATGGGTTGCTTGAACTCTGGTATCGTGGTTTCTCTTCAGTCTGCTTCCTATTAAAAAATGAGCGTTCAAAGTCAGGGACCTCCTCAGTATTTAAACTCCAGCTTTTAGCTGGCCAGGCTGTTTGCTTGGCTGGCTTTCCAGTCCACTTTTTGGTTTCCTGTGGTCCAAGAACAGTAGTTGGGCCAAAATACGTTGAAGCTTGAAGATCATCTAAACTTTCATGCTTCACTCGCCTTTTGTCCGGTATAGGAGAATAGATTGGATTCAAGTACTGGCTGCTGTACGGCATTTCGAAGCTGTGGTTGAAGAAAGTCTGCTTAGAGCTTTCTTTCCTGTTCTGAGGCTCTCTGTGTCCATCTTCTGGTGTTTTGTTGGATGGTATTAAGTTGGGAGATATTGTAATCAGATTATGAAAATCTTCTTTGAATATATTTCTTTTCTGGACACAAGACTGCATCATGAACGGCTCATCATTTGAAATGAAAGTTTCTTTTATGCCTGCACTTATAGGCAAGGAATCCTGGTCTGAAATAGATTCATTTTCAATGTTCATGGGGAAGTAGGTACTCTGCATCTCACATGGTGGGGATGTGGCGATGGAGTAGGACGCCAGTGCCTGCAGCCTGTCCAGAGAGGCAGCCCGGCCCTTCATGTCCTTATTAACACCAAGCAAGAAGTTGGGTTCTGATGAGGGGACAAACTGCTGGCAGTCTTTGCAGTCCATCTTTCTGCATTTTGAAGACCTTCTGACCGGGAAGGCCCGGTTGAAGTCTTGCTCGTTGAGCTCGCAGTTGGGCACACAGTCAGGCACACAGTCTGCCATGTTGCAGATCTCTGTGTCAGACCTGCAGGACTCAAAGGACTCCTTCTTCTTCACTTTGTGCCTTGCAACTGGAAGCTTTTCCTTGGCCACTCCCCCGTTCATTTGTATGAGGTTGAATATTGTTACTATATCTGCCGCAACCATGATTTTCTTTGATTGCTGATTGTTTACAGTGCATCTCATTTTGTCTTTGAACAAAGTCGCTGGGAAATTAGGATCCAGGCAAGCAGTGTAAAACAGCACACTTCTGAGCTTGGCCAACTGGGATAAATCAAACCTTGCACACAGGGACTTGCAGAGATCCTGGTAAGAAACAGTATTCTGCTTCGTGTCCAGCTCCTCCAGTATCTTCACCAGGAAGAGTGAGGATTCCTGGTTGGACTCCATGGCTTAAGCTTATTTCGCTGTTTAGCCTGGAAACCGCCTTCCACTTCTACAGCAACACAAAAAAGATTGTCAGTCACCCACAGACAACACCCAGGGCCTGGCAACTCAGCCAGAGATGGGGCCTGACTCCCTAACCATGCCATCCAGGGCTTGCTTTTATAACCCATCCTTGTGTTCTGAACTTCAGGCTGCAATCCTAGCATCCAATAAATCAATACTTAAATGGATAGAGGGTTTTATCCGAGAAGGCTCCTTTATGCCAACGTCTACTAAAGCAACCAAGCAAATAAACAGCAGAAGCTTTGGAGAGGCTGAACTAATGGCAGATAGACAATCCCAGCCTGCTTTCTATGGGACTGTCACAGAATTTCTTACCAGCTTATGAGAGGTTCAAAGCACAGCTTGAGCATCAAATTGTCTGCAAGAATTCAGGTCCTAGCGTAACCAGGGCTGATCTACTGCACCATGACATGTTTTCATATCTGAATGAAAATGGCTCTGAGGAAGATTTTCTGACAATAAACTTCTGACATGTTTTTAGAAGTTATCTGAGAACATAATTACCATCTTGCTTACTTTAAACCATTATTTTCTCCTCTACTCTAAAGTATCTCCTTTGGATACTTTGACATGTTTTTTCCAGAAATACCTTTTCTTAAGTATAGGATTCAGGAATGGAAAAGCTGCCAGGTCCCACGTGAAAAGTCTGTGTGGGCCCTGTTTCAGCTCTTAAGCCCAAAATTTAGCAAAGAATAGAAGGAGTTAAAAAAAAAATCCTACTGAACCTTGAAACCAATCCAGCAGATGCTAGAGGGCTGGCTGCCAATCAGGATGGATTTGAAGACAGAGAAATATCAAGGACAGAGAACATCCTCTTCAATGATGTGCTCCCAGTGAAGCCTAGGAGTGCATTTCCATTCACCATCCCGAAATGACAGGGCAGAGGTGAAGAGCAAAAGCTTCACATTCATGTGGATAATAGGAATAGCTTGAACAAGCACAGCTAACACTAGCAAACATCTTAGGGAGAATATAAACCCCTGCACTTTCAGAATTTAAACCAACCTTTAGCTATTATGGATTAGGAAAGGATGTTGATGATTTTTCATCCATCTGTTGTGAATATCCTTGTCAGTGCCTCTGCTGTTGTCTTCTAGGAAAGACAGAGCACAGGATGATGCAGTCTGCCAATTGCTATGTTTGGTCACTCTGTCTTTGTTATTCTTACTGATAGGAATGACAAAAATCTTCTCTGTTTCCCACAAAGGTATTTTATCTTCCCTCATTCACTTAGATGACCTCTGGAAGTGGCCTCTCCTCCATCAAGTGCAGAATATCCACCCAAATGGCAAAGCACTGAAGTCAACATTGCAAGGTTTATTATTACTCATTCTAAAAGGCACCTTCTGGACAAAAATCTCAGGACTCCTGAGCACCACTCCAGAATCCAGGGCTCCTGTTTCATCTCCTGCCCTGACATTACACATCAGTGAGTGCTATCAGTATCTGAAGCAGAGTACTTCAGTTTTCATAACAAATAGTTACCCAGAAGAACACGAAACAAGTCTCCATATGAACTCAGTTGTTTATTTAAATAACATCTTTCTACTGTGTGTGATCAGGAGCTGAGCAGCAGCAATGTGAATGCATTTCTGTGCTTGTAAACACGACTCTCAGAAAGCAATGGCTACAGGGATTTCCCAACACCTCCGCTGCACGCATGTTTGCTTTTAAAGCTCCTGTATTATGCATAGCAGCACAACTCTTCTGCCAGCTGACAAAAGAGAAAAAATGTTTTACTGTCTGTGCTCAGCTCTGAGAAGTAATGTGAAAGGCTGGAGGAGGGTGCTGGTATCCTTTTTCTCTCAGCAGTGTGTGCTTGGAGGCACAGCCTCTTTCACAGCCTGCCTTTGTATTTCTCCACATGTTGCCATTAATGGTGCTCCCATGCTAAGTCCAAACTCTGCTAGTTACCACCATGGCTACCAAGTCCTCACAGAATAAACTTCACACGTGAAGCTCAGAGACTTTCCCAGCTGCCAGGGGACTGCCATTGCAAGTCAATTTTCTGCATGTTATAAATCTGCCACTTGGGACATGAGTGAAAATATGTCTTTTTGTCACCCCCAGGCTGAACACCAGCAAAAGCAGCTATCTCCTCCTATTTGTAAATTCACAGCTTCTTGCAAACCCCTCACCTGGATATACATTTTCACAGCCTGCTGCACACCCTGTGCTCCCTGCACTGGCCTGCCAGCAGCCTGCCTTCTCCCCACTCACACTCCTGCTAAAACACCCAAGTAGCTAGTTTGGAGGAATGTATTTTTGAAAAGTGTCAACCCATTTTACTCCCCACCTTTCTGTCTTTACTCTCTCATCCCAGTGAGGATATCCTAGGTACAGCTTCTTGAAAATTTTTCTTCGTATCAAGCCATTCTTAGTGTCATCAGAGGTTTTAATTCAATTCAGGTTTCTAACACAAGGAATCTGGTAAAACTCAGGTACAGCCTGATTTGCGAGGCTGCTGAGTGATGACAAGTTCAGTAAATTGAGTGGAAGCCCTGCTGCACACCCCCAATCTCATGTTGCTTCTGCTTAGCACCAACAAGGACCCTTGTTTTGGGGACCCCAATCTATGCACAAGCAGTAAGGTGGAGGCACTGAAGCACAGACCCAAAGCAGGAGAGCTCAGCTAGGCTGGGTTAGCTCAGTCCCACCCCTGAGCCCCCAGACTCAAGCCTGGCAGGTGACAGTCAGCTATAAACAGTGAGAGGTGAGGGAAGAGGCTTTGAGACAAGGGTGACCAGGAGAGAGCTGAACCTGCTCAGGTGGGAATTCAGCCAGTTCATTCAACTGAGACTCAGCTGTGGGAGGTGGAAATTGAAAAGGCAGGCTGCAAACTCAGATGTAGGCCTTGAGGAAAAGAAAGCTATCTAGGAGCTGGAATAATTTCCTCTTCACCCCTTGGCTGTTAACAAAAGCCAGCTTTTTTGTGTGAGAGCATTTCAGGTGTGAAAGGTATCTCTGGGCTTCAGCCTGAGCATGGAAATTGGTGCTCCCTTGTGCGAGAGCATCAGAAACATTGCTGCTAGTGGAGCATCAACAGACTGGGGCTGTGAAGAACAGGATGTACTACCCCGTAAGGATAATATATAAGGGCCTTGGAATCTTGTTTCCTGGTTCAGGGATGTAAAAACCTGGTGCCAAAATTTTTAGTGGCACATTAAGCTCCGCTGTCTCTTGTCAAGCCTCCTAACAGCCTGTGACAAAGACAGGTGCTGCTTGGCAGGCCACCCCAGGAGCTGCCACATCCCGGGTGCCAAGCACTTGGCCATGCACCATCTCAGCCGTCATGTCCACGCTCATTCAGTATCTCTCAAAGCACAACCAGAATAGACCTAGACGAGGCACACAAATGCAGAGCTCTGAAATAAGCACAGGAAGGCCTTTTAAAGAGGGTACGGGGTCACGAATCAGTCAAAAGCAGCAAAGCGAATGGAAGGACCCACAGCAAGAGCAGCAGCACAGGGTCTCCTCAGATGGCCTCAATTCCACCAAGGTCCTCGTGCCCTACCCTCACTGCCAGCAGCCACACACACCCTCCAAACCCCCCCTCAAAATGACTTTGGTCTCCAGACACGTGGAGCTCCCCAGACAATGGGATGGGATCTGACTTATTTATCTTCACCAAGACCATCCCTGACCAAAGGAGCCACTTAACATTTCATCCTTAATGATTTTGTTCTATTAACACTGGAAGGGTCGCTTTGACTCAGCTTCCCAAGATTGGACATTTGCTGCTCTAATAGCACAATTATATCCCAGCATGGATTTGTAGAGCATCATGTTGCACAGCCAGTCGATGGGGGCTGGCTCTCCTTGCACACAGATGAGCTCCAGACTTACCACAAATCAATGTCTTCTTGCCCTGCACCAGGAGCAATGAACTGAGCTCTCATCTTACCACTAACCCACCGTCTCATCCTCTGGAGGAGAAGTCCAAGAATATTACGAATGCAACCTCCATCCCCAGTGGAGCTTTCTGCTGAACAAAGGGAATGTACTGTTCTATTTTCTGGTGTCCTTAGGAGCAAAGCCTCCATGAAACCTCTCCCTTGTGGTTCTCCAGACCAGGGGAACCTGCAGACTCCTTCATGCATCTTGCTTCCTTGCAGAAAAGTCAGAATGCACTTCCCATCCTCACCACCTCCCGAATCAGCACTGGGGTGGGGGTGGTCCCCTCATCTCCTGACTACCCTATAAATTTCCCATTCACAGGAATTCCTGAAATTAGTTCTGCTTCCCAGTTGCCCTGGCTGCTTTCCTGTGACTCCTTCAGCCCAGACCCTGCCCTGCGAAATGGGCAGCACACATTGGGGCAGATAAACCCCAGCGCAGGATTCAAGAGACAGTCCCACCACTCTTCCCTGAGCAGCTGCAGGGTGGCAAGGTGCCCTGCACGAGTCTGAATCGTGGCCACTGGCAGACAGACCACCTTATCTTCCTCTCTTATTTCCTGCTTCATTTCCTTCCCTGTTCTTTGTGCCACTGACATTTGCTGTCCCCCATTTCCCCATATCCACAGCAGGTGCAGCTAGCACACAGATGTGACTGCTGGAGTCATCGTTCCCCCTCTCCCTTTGATTTGCCAGCCAAGAGGGAAACACATCCTTGTTTTGTTCCCCCCACCAGTGTCTAACTGGCCACCCCAGGATGCCACTACAGCGACGGCAGACAGCGAGTGATCCTTGCATAAATTCCCTCAGAAAGAGCCTGCTACTTCAGCCCAGCAGAACACCAATACACAGCCAGTGATATGCTGTTTTACTATTAACTCGAGCTCATAAATCATTCAGCCTCTCTTCCCAACACCAGATACTATAAAACAAGGCAGGCAACGCTTGCCTCACATGAAATGTAACCCATAGAGATGCGATTCAGTTTTTGTTTTCTCCCACACTCATAAATCCATTTCTCTGTCAAAACATTAAGAAATTTCTGATGAAGAAATGGGGACCTCGAGCCCCATCTGGCTTCCACTGCACACAGACACAGAGCTGGCACTCC